CCATCAGGACTGGTGTCTCTCTGTCTCTCTTGTTTTGTTTTTTAGAGACAGGGTCTCTCTACATAGCCCTGACTGTTCTGGAATTGACTCTTATAGACCAGGGTGGCCTCACAAATCCTCTTGTCTCTGCCTCCTGAGTGCTGGGATAAAAAAGCCACCAAGTCCGGCTTGCGGCAGTCTCTTAAGGGCTGCACAACCAAAAGACAGAGGAGATAGCTGCCACTCCTGCCCATTTCTTCCCAAGCACAGGAAGGGGTGCTGAGCGTGACAGGGTTCCAGGAGCCAAGGTGGCGGCAACCCTATCCATGAACGGCCTGAGAACTCTACAGACCTAGGAGACAGTCAAAGGCACAAAGTTTTGCGGGGATGCATAAGGAGTAGGGTATGTTAAAGAGGATCTGGGATCCCCTGAAGACCAGGATAAACTAGAGGTTTGATTATTTCCCTTCCCCCAAAGCGTGATTGCTCCACTGCACCTATCACCACAGGGCATTTTCCATTATGAGAACTCACCCTTTGGGGGAAAAGGCATCAGGTTGGCTCAGGCAAGGCCAAGGCAGGGGACCACTCTGTAATTAGTACTTTGGTGAGGTTTGGGCAGAAGCAGGATACTACCACAGGCTCCTAACTAAAACCTTCTTTCCCAGGTAGGCACTTCCCACCCAAGACCTGACCCACAGAACAGAGGTCCCATGAGTTCGAGAACACAGTAGAAGGGGATGAAGGGCAGCCTTCAGGAAGGGCTGGGAGGAATCACTTTCCCATCCATGGGTGGCTATAGATACAATTTGCTGCCTGCAGAGCTGATGGGCAAGTGATTGACCCTGTGGCAGCTGATGTGACTGAAACTCACAGCAGCGATCCTTTGTCTAAACCACACCTTCAGGGGCCAGCAGAAGCAGGAGCTTGGGCTGCCCACTCCGCAGTCAGTGAGCCCGTACTGGCCAGCTGTGGCTGCGCTCGCTCTCACACCAAGAAGTCACTGCTGAGCTGCTGCTGTGTCTCAGCCTCCCCCCTGCTCAGCTTTCCCTGGAACCGGGACTCCCCTTGGAGCCACCCAGCTATGGGCATGGACTGGGAAGCTGGAGGCATCCAAAGGACATCTTCAAAGGGCTTCATGTCAGAAGTCTGGGGTGCACTGCCATTAACGGAAGGATTGGGGCGGGGCTTGTCTAGATTCTGGATGTTGGCAGAGGAGGTCATGGAAGAGCTCTCTTCCAGGGCAGGGTGGTGGAGGCAGCATGTGTTTATGGACTTCAGGGTCTCCTGCAGCATGCTGCCCTATAGGCAGTGTGGCTCCCCAGTGGCTGGGCATCTGGGCAGTGGGCAGAGTGGCTCAAGCAGTCCCTTCCTGATGCCGCATGTCTACCACCCATCAAGAGGCGGGTCCTTCCCTGAGAAGTCATTGTAATACTGATAGTCAAGTGCCTCTTCTTCCTCTTCATCCCAAGCTGAGCCACCAAAGCCAGCCATTCTGTCATGGGGGCTGACCAGCTTGGGTGGATTCCTGAGATATTGTTTGATGTGCAACTCAGAGGTCTGACCTATGGTGCTGATGACGTCCTGAGCAAGCTCTTCAGGACACTCCAGGATGCCACAGGCGCTCTGATTCACACCGTCTTTGGCAACATAGGCAACATACTCAGCTGTGTCTGTATCCCAGTCAGACGCGAATGAGACAGATTGTGTGTGATGGTTGGCAATGACCTGTTTGCAGTCTGCTGCTGTGAGGTTGAGGCTGCTGGTGGACACAGGGAGAGCCATCGGCACTCCAGCAAACCTCAGGTCGCTCCTCCCCAGAGGGGAGCTGAGTGGGCAGCTACAGGGCTTTCTCTTCCTTGCCGCACCATTGGCACCAGGCACAGCTTCACACACTAAACTGATGGCTTCCCCGGTGACCCGAGACCAGGGATTGAAGTCAAGGGCTCGCATTGGTGACAGTACTCCACACAACCCGTGTACCGAAGCAAGAAGGAAACTCTGAGTCCCATGAATTTGTCTTCGACATGCGGCCAGCTTCATGTAGGCTTGTTGGCACAGCTCCCGCGTCTGGTCAGCTTCTCCCCTCCCGTCTGGCCCCCTTCCATCCTGGTCCTGGGCCTGCGACCTCCACTCAGCTTGTTCTCACCCAGGTTTACGTGGCGTCCGCTCCTCACCGGGGGGCTGATCTGGTTCCTGATTGCGCAACTGTCAGCTTAAGTCACCGATCTACCTTGCTCCCTGGCCTGGGCCTCCCCAGACACTTTATTACTGTTCCATCTGCAGTGGATATCACAACCCAGATACATTTTAGTACAAACTAGGTTTTGTTTTTTAATTTGTCTATAAAGACTGTCTACTATATTGAGTCTACCAAATAAAAGATGCATGGCAAAAGTCCATTTGCAAAACAACATGGCTCCATTTCTAAATCAATAAACTTACAGTTTATTGTAATTTACAGTTTATTACAGTAATAATCTTTCCTTTAAAAAGTGTCATTAGTGCGGACTGTGGTGGCTGTGCTGATTAGTTTTTGCCAACTTGACACAGACTAGGGACATGTGGGAAGAGGGGGCCTTAATTGAGGAATTGGCTCCATAAGATTGGCCTGTGGGCATTGCCTTGATTGATGGTAGATGTGGGAGGACCCAGCACACTGTGGGTGGTGCCACCCCTGGGCAGGTGGTCCTGGGCTGTATAAGAGCAGTGGAGCAAGCCAGTAAGCAGCATTCTCCTGTGGTCTCTTCTTCAGTTCTTGCCTCTAGGTTCCCACCTCGAGCGCCTGCTCTGATGTCCTGTGATAATGGATCATAACAAGGTATAATCGTAAGCCAAAGAAACCCTTTCAGGAATAATCCTTCTGTACACTGTGTAAAGTACACTGTGATTGGTTTAATAAAGAAGCTGACTGGCCAATAGTTGAACAGGATAAAGTTATGCAGGAGAGCCAAATTGAGAATGGTGGGAAGAAGGGCAGAGATGGGGAGTCACCAGCAGATGCAGAGAGAAGCAAGATGGGATGCCATACTGAGAAAAGGTACCAAGGCACATGGCAAGGCATAGATAAGAAATATGGGTTGACATAAATGTAAGAGTTGGCTAGTAACAAGCCTGAGCTATTGGCTGAGCATTTATAATTAATAATAAGACTATATGGGAAGTGGCTGCTGGCACAGGAAAACTCTGACTACACCCCTAAGTTGCTTTTGGTCAGTGTTTTATTACAGCCACAGAGATGCAAATTGGAAGAGTAGTATACATCTGTCACCCCAATACTCTAAGTATGTGTGCATGTGTGTGTATGTGTGCATGCATACATGTGAGCACACCTGTGCACATGTACGTGGCCAGAATTTCAAAGCCAGTCTTGTCTACATTGCTGGTTTGAGGCAGCCAGGATGTCATGAGACTCTGTCACAAAAAGACTCACCCTCCTTCAAAATTCTGCTAATTATTTTTCATCAGCAAACTAAGAAAAAATCTTACTGGTGGAGTTCTTGATGAGTATTTATGTAGCTGAAGTTTTCTCCAGTCCTGCCTGGCCCATGGTCAGGACAAATCTCTCTCACCCCAGTCCTGCAGCTGCTCAGACCCAACCAAGTAAACACACAGAGACTTAACATTGCTTGCAAACAGTATGGCTGTGGCAGGCTTCTTGCTAACTGTTCTTCTATCTTAAATTAACCCATTTATATAAATCCATACCTTGCCACATGGCTCATGGCTTACCAGTATCTTCCATGTTGATACTCAAGGCAGCAGCTGGCAGCGTCTCTCTGCCTCAGCCTTCCTGTTCCCAGAATTCTCTTCTCTGCTTGTCCTGCCTATACTTCCTGCCTGGCTACTGGCCAATCAGTGTTTTATTTATTAACCAATCAGAGCAACACATTTAACATACAGATCAACCCACAGCACTTCCCCTTTTCTTTTTTTTCAAAAAGGAAGGTTTTAACTTTCACATAGTAAAATTACATATAACAAAACAATTATCAAAGAATAATTACACTTACACTATCTAGTCTATTTATAATATCTATTTGTATTTGTCAAAATTAAAGAAGCATATTTACATTAAAATATATTGATTGATTTTTTTTTTAATTTACTGTTTTTTCTTGTCTGGACTGGCATGCGACTTGTATTCTTCCTGTCTTTGCCTTGTGATGTGCTTGGATTATGGATTACAGCTATGTACCCAAATTCCCAGCTTTTATAAAAATTTTAATGTGAAATGTATTTTGGACTTTACAGAAGAGACTATGGTGATCTTTCATACACACATGCATACACATACACTACATATGTATGTATGTATATATATTTAAAGTTTTAGAAATTCCTTTTTCATACATAGAGAAGGTTGACTTACGAGAATCATGTAGGTTTTTATTTTAAGATTTTTAAATTAATTATTATTTTAAAAATTATGTCATGCGGGGTGGTTTGCACACGTGAGTAAAGATGCTTGTGGAGGCCAGCAGTGTCAGGAAGCCCCTCCTCAGAGCTGGAGCTACTGCAGGCTGTTGTAAGCTCCCTGACGTGAGTGCTGGGGACAGAAGTCACTCGTAATTCCACAGCCGTGCTCCAGCACAGAGATGCGTGGCTCTGACAGATCTCTTGGAGAGAGCATTTCATTCTTACTAATATCTGTGTCCTAAAATAGGTAAGCTTCTTTCCCCCGCGGCCACTTGAGAGGAGAGGACGTGAGGAAGCTGCAGCTAGAGGGACCTCAGATGAGGAACTGCCTCCATCAGCTTGTCTGATAGTCACGTCTCGGGGACATTTTCTTAACTGATGATTGACGGGGGGCGGGACTCAGCCCACTGTGTGTGGTACCCATGCAGAGCAGGTGGTCCTGAGAGGAATAAGTTAGCAAGTGTGCAAGCCGATGATCAGAGTTCTGCTGGTTTCCACATGAAGTTTCTGCCTTGACTTCTTGTCTTGGTTCCTTTGTTGATGGGCCATAATGTGAAAGCTAAAACAAATCCTTTCTTCCCTGAGTTGCTCTTGGTCAGTGTTTTACTATAGCACCAGGGAAGTCAAGTAGTCTAAAACCTTCAGCCACTTTGGCATGTTATGTGATTACAGGCTCCAGTGTTATTATGCAAAATGTTCATCATTGTCAAACAGATTTGGTGTGCTTTCATAGTGTACCATGGAGGATGGAATAGTTATACCCAGGTGAAGGGCAGAAAATTAAAGCTAAACTTAGCTTCTACCAATGTTAACACTTTCATTTGACAGTTAGATTAATGAAATAATTTAAGATGGGAGACTATGCTCTTTAGGGCACAGTCGTCAGGCTGCAAAGAAAACAAAAGGCACCCAATCGTCATGGTGGCAGTAGGTATGGCTGTGAAATCCGATTGTACTGGAAGAGTTCTTTATTCAGCATCACTTGTAAGTCTTTGTGGCTCATGGATGAATCCTCAGGGCAAATTCATTCTAAGCATTGAGGATATAAGATTTCACTACAGTTCAAATTCCTGGGCCACAGATGTACAGAGAACTCCACTAGGGAGTAAATAGAAGAGAAGGTGAAGAGAAGAAATGTCTCTTGTCATTGTGCATGGACCTGGGAATGTTCATGGAGAGTCACACGCTGACCAGCTAAGAAAGGATGACACCCCCTGAGCAAAACCTGAGCTTCTCACAGATCTGAAAGGCGGAGTGAAAACACAGGTAGGCTTTTAGATAAACAGCTTATGTAACATAAAAATACATTTAACATGGTTAGTGCTAGAAAATGAATACAGTGTAATAGAGCAGGATCATAATTTAAAACATACAGCAGATATGAAAACACCTTGTTACTTTAAAATGTAGGTCTACAGCTCCTTATGTAAAGTTCAGTAAGACAAAGTATGTGATACATATGAGGGAGCAAGAGAACTGATGAATGAATGAATGAATGAATGAATGAATGAATGAAGTCTGGAAGTTCTTATATAATGCAGGCAATGAGTCCCCTACTTACATGATACAAGTTTATCATACCCTCCAAGAGCACAGGGAGAACAGAAGCAGAGCTCACACACTCCACAGCTCTGAGTTCTGACCTCTGTGTCTCTGATACCAAGTGAAAGCCAAGAAACTTATCAAGTCACTTTGCTTTGTTGATAGTATTTCTGTTTTAAAAAAGAAATGTTGTACTTAATGTTATCAGACAGGTATAATAATAAAAGAGGACTGTGTTATTGAAGTTTTATTTGCCTGCAAACCTTTTTGCTGCATGAAAGGAAAGTTTAAAGGAAATATTTTACCTCTGAGTTCAGTTGAGAGGCCACCCAGACCTCTCAACCAAGCTTTGAACTAGAGTCTAAAGGAAACGTTTGATCGTCTTTGTCTTTCAACTTGACAAAATGTTCTTCTCCTTCATGTGTGATTGTCAACCAGTTTTAGAAATGTAAAGCTCTTGGGGGTAAGATATGAGTCTTTTTGTTTAACCTTTGAACACCCTTCCAAGTGTCTGTCCTACTGCTGTGCATCTCCAAAAGTGTTGCTCATTGGGCCTCTATTCTCCCTGCACTGGTTTGGAAGTAGTAAAAAACAAGGTTGCTGATATTTCATTTCTATTCAGTGCATCGGTAATGGTTTGTATTCATTACAAGACTGACATTCTGTCTGAGGAGATGGCTTGGGATGTAAAAGCGCTTGCATGAAGACCCAAGTTCAAATCCACAGAATCCTGTAAAAAGCCCGTCTTGGTCTCCAGAGTCTGTAACCTCAGTGCTCTGCGGGATAGAGACAGGAAGATCTCTGATGCTTGCTGGCTGGCAGACTGGCTCTCGGTTAAGCAAGAAACCTGTTTCAAGGGACTGAGGTGGAAAGTGATTGCTGTATACTTGGCAGCCTTCCTCTGGTCTCTGTGTGTAACTACACACACACACACACACACACACACACACACACACACACATACATATAGAGAGAGGGAGAGGGAGACAGAGATGGGGAGAGAGACAGAGACAGAGAGACAGAGACACATACAGAAAAGACAGAGAGACAGAGGAAAAAGAAGGCA